TTTCACTGAGCATAATGTCCTCCAAGTTCTTCCACATTATGTGGTGTTTTGCAGGTTCTACGTTAATCTTTTTTTTTTTCCTAATTTTTAGTGTGATTTGGGTGAAAGTTTACAGAGCAAATTCATTTTCCACACAACAGTTCATATACATTTTGTCTTATGACATTGACTGCAATTCCCCTCAATATAATAGCTTCCCATTTCCTCCCCATAGTTACTTCTTCCCTGTGTCCTTCCCTCCCATGCACTCCCACCCCCCGAGCTGTCTCCCTGTGCAAACACTGCTCGTCTGTTCTCCCATGACTGATTGTTCTTGGAAGTGTATTTACCTGGTGTAAATACTTACCCTATATGCCTGTCTATTGTTTGGCTCAAAGCAGTGGTAGTGAGTTTACTTCCAGGCCTGAAGGCTAACCAACGGTCGTGCTCTTGGGGGTTTCACCAGGCTCTCTCAGACCAGTAAGCCTGGTCTTTTTTATGATACTGATTTTTATTCAGCATTGTTCTCCCACTCTATCCAGGATCTCCTTCACTGATCCCTTTCCAAGTGGCTGATGCTGATAGCCAGGCACCATCTAGTTCTTCTGATATCATGTTACATACACTGAGGTTTGCATGGGCCACTAGGCCCTTGGACTAATTGTTTCCATGTGTCTTTGGTTTCCTTCACTCTTCTCTGCTCTGGGTGAGGAGAGACCAACTGTTGCATCTAGATGGTCACTTGTGAGCTTTTAAGATCCCAGTCACTACTCACCAAAGTAGGAAGTAGAATAATGTTTTTGTATAGTATGTTATGCCATTTGAGCTTGATGTCCCCGATAACCATGGTCCTGAACCCACAGGTCCAACAACTTGTTCCGTCAGGGAAGTTGACTGTGACTAAGAAGTTATCATAACTTTGCCCACTCTTCTGCCCCTTTTTAAATTGGATTGTGTGTCTTTGTGATGTTGAGATGTTGGAGTTTTCTATAAATTTTAGAGATAAGTCCTTTGTCAGACATGTTGGCAAATATTTTTTCCCATTCTGTAGGTTCTCTTTTTACTCTTTTGGAGAAGTCTTTGGAAGCACATAAGAATTTAATTTTTTGAAGGCCCCAATCGTCTAGTTTATCTTCTGCTATCTCTGCATTTTGGGTTATGTTTGGTAGTCTATTTATGCCATAAATAAGGGCCCCTAAGTTTGCCCCTATTTTTTCTTTCATGAGCTTTATACTTTTAGGTTTCACTTTTAGTCTTTGATCCATCTCGAGTTAGTTTTTGTGTATGGTGTGAGTATGAATCTTGTTTCATTTTTCTGCAAATGGGTATCCAGTTTTTCCAGCAATATCTGTTAAAGAGACTATCTCTTCCCCATTTAATAGATTTCAGCCCTTTGCCAAAGATCAGCTGACCATAGGTGGATGGATCTATTTCTGGGTTCTCAATTCTGTTCCACTGGTCTATGTGTCTGTCATTCCAGTATCAGGCAGTTTTGACAACTGTGGCTGTGTAGTAGATTTGAGATCCAGAAGTGTGAGACCTCCTACTGTGTTCTTCTTCATCAGTAGTGCTTTGCTTAATCGAGGTCTCTTTCCTTTCCATATAAAATTAGTGATTGGTTTTTCCATGTCTTTAAAGAATGTTGATAGAATATGGATTTGGTTTGCATTGACTATATAGATTGCTTTGGGTGGTATTGACATTTTCACGATGTTCAATCTTCCTGTCTGTGAGCATGGTATGTTCTTCCACTTGTGCAGATCTCTTATGGTTTCTTGAAGTAGTGTTTTGTAGTTTTCTTTGTACAGGTCTTTTGTGTCCCTGGTAAGATTCATTCCCAAGTATTTTATCTTTTTGGTAGCTATTGTAAATGGTATTGATTTCCTTTTCAGAGACTTCTTTGCTGGTGTGGAGGAAGCCAACTGATTTTTGTATGTTGATCCTGTATCCTGGCACTTATGTTAAATCTTTCAATAAGTTTCAGTAGTTTTCTTACTGAGAGTCTTGGGTTTTCTGTATATAGGATCATATCATCTACAAATAGGCATAGTTTTACTTCTTCCTTACCAATTTGTATACCTTTTATTTCCCTTTCTTGCCTTATTGCCTGGCAAGGACTTCCAGTACAATGTTGAATAGAAGTAGAGATAGAGGGCATGCTTATCTGGTTCCTGTTTGCAAGGGGAATGGTTTCAGTCTCTCAGCATTGAGAATAATGTTGGCTTTTGGTTTTGCATATATGCCCTTTATTATGTTGAGGAATTTCCCTTCTATTCCTAATTTTCTGAGAGTTTTTGTCAGTAATGTGTGTTGGATTTTATCAAATGCCTTTTCTGCATCTGTTGATATGATCATATGATTCTTTTCCTATATTTTACTTACGTGATGGATTACATCGATTGTTTTGGTAATGTTCAACCATCCTTGCATACCTAGTATGAATTCCACTTGGTCATGTATTTTTTATTTTATATGTTGGTGGAATCTGTCGGCTAGGATTTTGTTAAAGGTTTTTCCCTCTAAATTCATGAGGGATATTGGTCAGTAATTTTCCTTTCTGGTGGAGTCTTTGCCTGATTTTGGTATCAGGGTTATGCTTGCTTCGTAAAATGCATTTAGGAGTATTCCATTCTTTTCTGTGCTTTGGAATAGTTTAAGTAGGGTTGACTCAGCTCTTCTCTGATGTTTGGTAGAATTCTCCAGTGAAACCATCTAAGCCAGGACTTTTTTGTTGTTGTTGTTGAGTTCAGTGAGTTTAGACAAGTGTGTGTGTGTGTGTATCCACATGTAACCACTACCCATTCTGTTGTACATGAGGTTGCTATGAGTTGAAGCTAACTATAGTACCTAACAACAACCACCACTGTCTAAATAAGAATATAGAACAT